TTAATTCAACGTCTGTTGGCTGCTGTTGAACCAATGTTTGTAAAACAACTTCAGAGCAACGTAGATATTAGGTTGTCGACGTCGCAACCTTTTTTCTAGCAAATTTCAACGTTGAAACAACGTCGTGTGCCCGGTGGGAAGCTTCCTGAATAGTATTAATTGTCCCACAACGACCTTAAAAGAAAAGTTAAAAAGCAGATTAATATTAAACAGCCATTTCTTTTCCCTTGCGAGTGTTTAAAAACAAATTATTATTTTCACACCAATTTCGTATAATAATTTCGTCTAAAGAAAAATTTCCCGAAAGCGGATTCTTGATTTGTACGAAAGTTATCAAGCATCAAACGTATACTGAATTCTGAATTAATCAATTAATTTTGGGCAATTTGTCAACAATACAATTTCGCTTGTCTTTCAAAGGCCATAAACTTCTACAATATTGCGTTTTGAAATGAATTTGGCATCCACAAGTTCAATTTTTTTCGCCGATCGAACAGTGGTATTTTTATTCCAGAACCAAAGATAAGCCGCAGCAGAATGTCGGTCGTGAGAGTCTCCGGCGTGTTAAAGGCCCTGTCACACTATTGTGTATGAGAGAAACGTATGAGAAGCGTATGAAAATTAATGAAATAATTTTCATACGCACAAAAAACCTTTGAAATGCCAGCGTATGAGTACCGTACATGTGGCGTAAATCGAGCGTATTCAGCGTATGCCTATATAGAGTATGCTTATCGTATAAACCATATACGTCCGATACGCACAAAATTTTTGAACATGCTTAAAAAAATGTTCTGCCTCGCCGTATGCAAGCGTATGCCACCGTATGCGACCGTGCTTGAAACGTATACAACCTATTCCTAACGTACTCCTAGCGTATGTCAGCGTATACCGGCGTATATGAGTGATATTTTTCATGCGCTTGTAGGAGTGCCGGAGATTTGTCGGTATACCGACAAATCTCCGGCACTCCTATAGGGTCACCACTTTCCAGTTTCCTTGCTGAGGCAGTGATGCAAGACCTGGAAAGTAAAGCTGTTACAAACAATGACAACATTAAAACATGGGACAGGTATGTAGACGATGTACTTGCTACTATCAAAAAGGCCAAAACAGATGAGTACATCCTACTAACAATTAACAACACCACTAAGAACATCAAATTTACCAAAGAGGAAGAACATGACAACAAACTCGCGTTTTTGGACGTCCTAATAACAAAAACAGACAACGGCACTTTAACCACACAAGTTTATCGCAAGAAAACACACACTGATCAAATTTTAAATTACAATAGCAATCACCCAACACAACACAAAGTCAGTTGCATAAAGACTCTATTCAACAGAATTGACACACATTGTAACACTGATCAATCCAAACAAGACGAACGCAAGTACTTATACTCTACTTTTTACAAAAATGACTGCCCTTTAGACTTCATTAATAAGGTGCTACAACATAAACAACAAACTAACACGGACCGACTTAACCAAACAAAAACGAGGATTACACTTCCTTACATACACACTACATCAGAAATGGCAGCTAGACTCCTCCGACCTTTCAACATTGACGTTGCACACAAACCAATATGCAAACTTAGGTACAACTTTACTAAACACAAAGACAAGACACATATAACGGATAAACATAACGCCATTTATATCTTCCCGTGCAAAAACTGTCCGGATAAGTACATTGGACAAACTTCTAAAAAGATTCAGACAAGACTAACAGAACACCAGAACGCAATCAACAGACACGACCATAGCTCACTTCCAGCTAAATACACAGACGACAACGGACACAAATTCGACTGGTCTCAAACGAGATGCCTAGGACAACCAACTACTAAACATGCCCGTGAGTTTAAAGAAGCGTGGCATAGTTTAGACAAACAAACATTTAACCGTCACATTGACATCCCTACAATTTACTTACAACTGAAACGCACTCACAAATCTCCTAATTCATCTTCATTAACCTTTAACCCACCCTCAACTTCCTTCCCTACAGCGTCTCATGATAACAATAATCACCCGCATTCGATAGTAACTAATGGCAACCAACATACTGAAATCCATCAACCAATCAGACGTTCCCACAGACTTCAACAACGTCAACAACAGCGCGAAAATTCAAACGATCAATCTTTCTGATGAAGGCTCGAAGTACCGAGTCGAAAGCTCAAAACAAATTATTACAATCCGGAGAACACTGTATAATTTTGTAAAAATTATAATTTAATAAAATGCCTGGATTACAAATCTTCAAATCATATATATATATATATATATATATATATATATATATATATATATATATATATATATATATATATATATATATATATATATATGTATATATATATATTTTCGTTTTACCTCAAAAAACCACAACAGTCTGTTTCATCCGTATAGAATCATCAGGTGGTGATTCCTATACGGATGAAACAGACCACCTGATGATTCCTATACGGATGAAACAGACTGTTGTGGGTTTTTTAGGTAAAACGAAAAACTATATTACGCTCTATCTATATGGTATTGAGCACTGTTTGTGTTTCGTAAACCAAAATCTTAAGCTATATATATATATATATATATATATATATATATGTATATATATATATATATATATATATATATATATATATATATATATATATATATATATATATATATATATATATATATATATATATATAACCAAATTTGCATATTGCTGACATATAAGTAAGTTTGCTTGAATAGTTAAAGGCCTTAAACTGAAGCAAATATCCTGAAATTTCGTACAGCAATTAAACACCCAACACATTTTTCACCCATTAACTCAAAATACGATTAAAGCTTTTAAATCTCGTGCGCAAGCTATTTTTAGTTTGTTGGAAAAAACACACCCTCCTGGTTTACAAAATTTTTGTTCGAGAATTTTTTTTCATTACTCTACATTGTAAGTACCCAAAGAAACTATATATATATAAAATAGGATACTAATAGCTGTTTTGCGAAATTGAGAGAAATTTCAAATCTGTCCAGTTTTTTTGATACACCCTGTAGTATGTAATCACAGCTGAGCTTATAAGTCACAACATCCGGACAAGTTACGATCCTTGCCTCGGGTGGACAAAATAATCAAACAAGATAGACTTTTTCCTCACGGCCTCGTGTGTCACATTCCACAGCAAAAACCGTGCGCACACGAGAGCTTTTAGCTAAGCTGTTACCACGCGTGGCGATTAGCTCTGCCAAAAGCTCTCGTGTGAGGCAGGCTTAACACCGTGCAACAAAAGGAGCGTGCAAAATACAACAAATACCTGCGAGATCAGACAAAAAGGTATCCTCAGTTATCGACGCCCGCGGTCTGGTCACCACATTTGCCATTGGGACTGCACTTTGAAGAGCTAACTTACGAACTCCGGGAACAGAGAACACTGGACCTAATAAACACATGATGAAATCCATTTGTATACAGTAGGGTAACACCATTGATCTTAAAACTTGGAGAGCATCTGGTATGCATGTGACCACAACAAAAATACTATGGTGTAACTGACATGTTAAGGCCTATCTACAGGATATGATTAGTTGTATCTTATCCTGGCGTATGTATTCTAATAAATGCGTGTAAAGTTGAAACATTTAAAATTTCCCCATAAACTGATGAACAGGAGTAGTGGCGTCAGAAGTCGTTTTCATACGCCAAAATAGAGACCTTACGATTTTAGGACGGCAACGCGACGGCCAAAACAAACTCCTTCAAATAAATGGTAGTAAAGACAGTTCGTCGTATATTATCAATCGTATGAATTTAATACAATCTTAGAAGTTGAAGACATGGGTTTTATGGTTGGGAAGAGTTCTGCTAAACCCAGTTTGAAGTTGCACTTGTTGCGGCTTGGAATGCAGGCGTTGCAGTATCAAGACGTGAAAATCTGTGATTTGGCGTTGTCAACAGAGCGTAGGACATTGTCTAAATTATTCATATATTGTAATTACTCAATTCTTTTCAATGATCTATTGTATTGGTAGCCGTTGCCGTCGCGTTGCCGTCCTAAAATCGTAAGGTCTCTAATGACAATCATATACGACTAGTCGTATTGTGTGAATGGGGCTTGGGAAGAGGTTCTTAAAGTTTCTGCTGCTGGGTAGGAATAAAAAAATATTGCCCAGAGAGAAAGTAATTATCAGTGGCCTCTTTTCCTCATGAAATTTGCCAGCGAATAATAAATGCGGTCACACTCGTAGAGATCATAAAAGAATAGAGTGGGCATCGCAGGAAAAGTTCATGCAAACGAAAGGGACAAATTGAAGCTTGATAAACGGGGCAAATTTGAGTAATACCCGGATGTACAACCAAAAAATCTATTTGTTTCACCTTTTGCCTACAATTCGAGGTGAAATGTATTTGGTCATTTTCTCTTATAATGATATATAAAGCCTGAATTTTCTTGCTGTGTAATAATGTTTTCCATAAACACGATATCTAACGCACGCGAACATGCTGAAGTTGAATTACCTTTTTTCATACACTACATATAAATGTAGTGTTTCCACAAACTAAATCTTAAAAGTTTTAAATTACTAACCGAGAGCTGCCCTGAGGTTTGTAACACATTTCTGCGTCTTTAGAAGTGATGGCGATGATATAGTGGAACGCAACGCTTTTCCCTCGGGACATTCTGTTTTTACAGTACTTTTCATATCAGATGATGAGGTACGCATTGGAACGTACGAGGGCGTTGTCTTTTGAGGATGGATTGATTCTACAAATAACAAGATAGACAATTATATCGTAAAGCATGGGCGAGTTTTGTAGATTTTGGTAATCTCACTACAAAAATGAAAATCCTTCTACAATAGACCTTTCCCCTTTTAAGTGAAATTTTGATCTAGACAGGTCTGGACCAAAATTTCATCACAGCTTGAAAGAGCATCGCAAAATTAGTAATATTCCAAAGTTTCGTTGCAAAATGTTGTAAAATGCGGATAATATAGCCTTGCGAAGTTTGCCGTTGTTCAGTCATTTGGTATTACAAATGGGAAATTGACAATCAGTTTGATCATCTGATTATCAATTTCCCGTTTGTAATACCAAATGACTGAAAAACGGCAAACTTGGCAAGGCTATAGCCTATTATTATATTATCCGCATTTTACAACATTTTGCAACGAAACTTTGGAATATTACTAATTTTGTGATGCTCTTTCAAGCTGTGATAAAATGTTTGTTCAGACTTGTCTAGATCAAAATTTCACTTAAAAGGGGAAAGGTCTATTAGTGCTGCATGAGTAAAATACAAGAAAAAACATACTCCGAAGAATAACATCTTGTAAACTCAAGATATGAGCTATAACACAAGACAACAATTTTGCGGTGATATTTCGACTCTATTTCAAAGTCATTGTCAAACCAGAATAAGCTATTTACAAACTTGCTATCATATTATATACAAAGAAACAGGAAGAGATGACGTATTAGAAACATTACACTATTGACATACAATGATACTAAATTAAGAAAAGACCACGAGTTCTTTAGACGCTCCTAATCCGTTATTAATAACGGATTAAGAGCGTCTAAAGAACTTATGGGAGCACAAATTTCAAGCTTGTGAATGAATTGTTCTCGTAAGGAGATATTCACCATGTCTCTAAGAAATGGGCCCCATATATGATTTCTATTAAATGATTGCAAAGTTTAAGGTTTGCAAAGGACAACCTTTTTTTGAATTAGCTGTATATATACATGTAAAAAAGTAAAACAAGACGCCTGCTCAGGCGTGTAATGTGTAGTAGAGAAGTAGATAGGGACACAGGAGGTCTGGACCATATAAATAGATTAATCATGATCAGCAACTATCAACCATAATATACCAAGACGCCGGCTCAGGCGTACCCAGTGAACTGTAATAACACTGAAACGCTAACTGCTGATAAACTTGCCCATACTTGCCTGAAGCCAAGATGGCGCTTCTTACGAGCGCAGCGAGCAATAAATTAACTTTCAAAAAGACTGCGGAGAGTTTCGAGGAGCGGGAAATTCAGTCAAAAGTTTGTTTTTGAGCGAAAATCAGCAAGAAAAAGCACTTTTTTATCGAAAGTCTTCAACTTTAAAGATTCAAACCTGGTTTCCTGGATAGTTCTAAGTATTTTACATCCACTAACAGCAAAAACTTCCTGGGTAACAGCTTGATATTAAAAATATTACACAAGTTTGAACGTGCCGAAAAAAACTTCGCACTTTGACTCCTGAAAAAAGAACTTGGTAACTGCTCTACGTTCTGGAAACATGTTTTGTATTAAATTTCAGGTACTGTTGAAAGTTTTTAGCTTTTTTCCTTGTTGAAATACAGCTATTTAGTGGTCGAAAACAGACATCTTTTTGGTGGCGTATTTTCCACTCCATACGTACATGGCGGCCATCATGGTGGCTTCAAAGATGCGGCCAAGTTATCGTTCCAGTTCTCTTAGAGTTCACTGGGCGTACCCTCCGGCTTCGGGCAACTCAACCTGACAAGCCAGTTCCACTGTAACTATGATCATCAACTATCAACCGTAAATAATGATGGTCCAATAATAAAAAGAAATTTTATAGTCCTTGATTTTTAATGCCATTATATGGCTCGTTTCAGGTGCTAAAAAGTTCATAGACATAGACGATTCTTCTAAAAAATACGCCAATTTGCTTCCATTTATAATTTTATAATTTTAAGATAAACCGATCCCAACCCCAAGCCCTTCTCTAACCTCAACCAGTAAACATCTAATAAACAATTTGAGAATTAAAAAAGTGTGTGTGGAGTTGGATCTTGTTCCAAAAACAAATCGAACCGTACCACGTTTCACTTCGCCGCACGCAACGCCACCTCGCTGAATACAATCGAAAAAATACATTTTTACAGTAATATTACTAATATATGATGAAATGGAAAGTAATTTGGTGCAAATTAATGTAATTAGGTGCAAATCTATAATCATGCAAACAAGGTTCCCCCCTAAATTTAGTACAGCACTTACCTAATGATTTAGAGATGGGTTTGTTCAGGGCTGAACCATCATCGTTGTTTCCACCAGACTCGTCGAGATTATCTAAAGATTTAGCAGGATATTCACATTCCGAACGTGAACGTCCACTATTCGGCCTTCTAGAATTAATGTTTCTCTTGTCTTCCAAGCCAGTTGCTTCCAGCCTGGGAAATTTTGGTGATACTTTTTGAGCGGATTCCATTTCACCCTCGGTTGAGCTTTTCCTTTCTTGTTTCGGAGCATCTGTCTTCGAAGTCTCCGCCTCTTCTTCGATTGACGTTGAAGCATGTTGTTTGTTGGTAATAAGTCTAGAATGCTCCGAGCCGCTCCTTTCTGCTTGCGTTTGTCCTACGGTTGGTCTAAACGCAAAATTTTTATGTTCCTTAAGAAACACGTTTAGTCTGGAGTCTTTCGCGGCTTCATCTACGTGACATTTTACACCAGGACTAAAGTGCAATTCGATGTGAAATCGCATATCGGAAGTCTTGTCAACTTGCGGATCCTCGTACAACATAAGCACGATCTGCGTCATGTAGTTGAGTTCTGGTACTGCTGCAAAGTACTCGATTGTGCGTTTCCAAAACTCGTCTGACACATCCTGGAAAAAATAATGCAATGAATATACCATTTCATTAAGAGGAGAATCTTTTGTATATGTTACATAACACGCCTCAAATGCGTGCGTACGCAATGAAACGAGGTCGGTTTTCAGTCATTTTGTATTGCGCACGTGGGAAATTGATACCTTTTCTCAGAAAGCGGTATATCAATTTAATTTCCCGTGCGTAATACAAAATTACTGAAAAACGGCAAACTTCGCAGTGCTATATATAGAGAATAATACATGGGTGCGCGGAAATACCAGATCTATTTCGAGTGTTGAACATCATGTTCAACACGAGAAATAAATCTGGTATTTCCAAGCACCCATGTATTTTTCTGTTTACTATATAAACAAAATTCAGTGAAAAACAATAAAACGTCCGTGGCAATGCGTTTTACAACAAATGATATTTTCACACGTAAAAATATCGTATTTTTTACGTGTGTTTAAATACGATTTTTCTCAGTGGCCAAAAACTCTATATAACACTTATGTTTATATAATAAATATATATTATCAGCATTTACAATATTTCGCAACGAAACTTCGGAATACTACTAATTCTGTGATGCTCTTTCAAGCTGTGGTGAAATTGTTGTCTAGACTTGTTTAGATCAAAATTTTGTTCATTAGGGAATAGGTCCAACCAGTTTTGCAACTTGTAACTTTGTAACTATAGTTCCAGGTGATCTTGATACGCGGAAAAGTACTGGCACTAGTTGTCAAATAGAAATCCATTTTATGATTAAAACAACTGAATATTTCCTGTAGTATACTTTATTTCGTTTCCATATTTTTGTCAGAGCTATAGTTCTCCTAACCAAACATAATTACAAAATTTTAACTAGTTTCATAAAGAATAACGAAAGATATAATTGACTAAATACATCAAAATGGATTTCTATTCGGACAACCCTTTCTGAGCGCTGATTGGCTAAAATACGAACACGAGATCACCTGGGTTACAGTCAGCATCTAGAATAATAATACATCGCACTGCTTGTTCTGAGTTGTTGACAAGTCCATAACAAGTTGTTATCCTCTCGTAACAAGGTTGACGAGGCCAACAGACTCGTAACAAGTTGTTGAAACCAAGTCTGATGTCATCTGCACGTAACAAGCTGATTACAACGAGCTCGTAGCTCGTACTTGTTACGAACAGCTTGTATATTAGTCCTGTTGGAACAACTTGTAGCAAGTCTGTTGCCGTCATCGATCTTGTCACAAGGTGATACCAACTTGTTCCAGACTTGTCACAACAACTGGGAACAAGCAGGGTGAACACATCCTGATATCGGCTTGCCAACAACTTTGTTATAACTTGTTTGCAGATCGGTAACAACATACGCGTTTTCACGCGTGTATGTGCTACACGCTATTGTCACTGTCACTGTACTTACGTCACAAAGATTTCCATATCTAATGGCATTGATCATGGTGTGAATATGACTTTCACTGGTGAAGTACAGACGCGTCCGAACGTGACGATGTGGAGTAACAATGTCGCGAGAATATCTGCAAGACAAACACACATAATATGAAGATGAGCACGTCGTATACAGGGAATGTGAAAGTCTGAAACTTAGCACTGACATTTAAAATATCATTTAAACAACATTGAGCTACACACGCAAAAATTTCACTTGTTGTAGCAAGTCTGCCAAAAAGACGTCAGCAAGTTATGTTCGCATTGCTTGTCCAAGTTCTCAACAAGTATATAACAAGTCTGATAATGCCATCAAGCTTGTTACAAGTTGTTAACAGCTTGTTCCAAACCTGTTGACAACTTGGGACAGGCAGTGCGAACATAACTTGTTGACGACTTGCTGGCAGACTCGCTACAAGATGTGAGATTTTTAGATGCGTAGATGGCCTTCTCTATTTAACAATTATTGAAGTCAGTTTTCGCATTATATCAAGAATTATCAAGGCCGAAATTTGTTAATAAGTAGGTAGCTTCAATAAGTACGTTAACTGATTCATACGTTGCTTTTGTAATTCGCAAATTAAAGTTGGCACACGAAACGGCGTATGCCTTACTTTGGATTCAAACGATGTGTAGTTTCGGATTGATCTGCGTGGCGTAAGTCTCCAAGCAGTTTCCTACAAAGATGCTGGCACGTCCTTCGAGAAATCTTCATCTTTTCCTCTTCTGTTATACCATATTCCTGAAACGGAGAAATAGGGAAAAAAAAAATAATTTAATTCGAAATTTAATCAGCACAGAAATTACGAAAAAACAAAAACATCTTTGCCGATGGTTAAGTGTATTGAAGTAGGTATGGCAAATTTTCGGAATTAGCTCAAGTTCAGCTATTGAATCGAGTCAGTGAAGCCATTGACTGGACTCAGTGAAGTTGTTGACTCGACTTCCAAGCGACTCGATCTGTTACAACGCTGGGTTTTACACACATGACGCACTTGCCCGATGGTTCATTTTCACTATACTTATCGGAGTAGCAATTGAATATAAGATTTGTAGCATATTTCAAAAAGTTCATTTCCATCGTATTCTATCTTCTCTTTCTAGTCTTTTGATACTTGAATAACAAAAACAGTAAGCCAACTAACCAGGCTATAGTCTCTTTGATACTATTTTAGTTGGCTTTTTATCATAATTTGTGTTACATTTTATTTATATCTTTTTTTCTCACTGTAAATTTTGGAATGGTAATAAATTTCTTCTTCTTGCCTGAGGAATGACAACATCTGCTAAAGCTTTGGCACATTTAAACAGTTCTGGTCCATCACGTAAGTTAAGTTTGCTAAAAACACAGAAAGAATTCATTTGACTTATTCATAACAAAGAAGGATCGAATTGCAGTAAGTTCACGTGTGTTTAATCACGCCTGAGTTACGTAATAGTGTTTTGGGGGCCCTTTTTTCTTTTTTTATTAAATATATATATATATATATATATATATATATATATATATATATATATATATATATATATATATATATATATATATATATATATATATATATATATATATATATATATATATATATATATATATATATATATATATATATATATATATATATATATATAAATCATATGCAATCAAAAACGTTGTCGATAACATCTTGAAATAATTCAGTGGTTCTCTCACAAAAACTCAAAAGCAACAGCACATAATTGGCAGAGGCGGTGGAACAGGGGGGCTATATCCCTCCCCCGAGGTAAAAATGGCGAGGCTAAGCCCCTCCCCCCCCTCCCTTAGGACTGTAATAATGTTACATGCTTAACCCATCTCTTTAAGAAGGATTCGTTTTACATGTCATATCAGAAAATAAGAGAAAATAATTTCAGTCTACAACTTATAATATTTTGCATTTTTCGCGCATGCTTCCCAAAATAACATGTCTGAGAAGATGGGAAAATACATATTTGCACCACGACAATGCACGTCAATGGTGTTTGATTCGCTAATACCATGTTTTCTTGTATATAATCACTAGATAGACATTTTTAGTAAGATCCTTGTTAAAAAGCGGTTGAGCAACTGTGATTGTTCCTGTAACTCGTAATAGGGTCAAGATGGCGCCATATGGGGGAAAAGGTGGCATATTGCACTTGTCATATCTTCGAAAACAGTTCGGTGACCCCAACTTTTTTTCTGTTTTTACTATGAGCACATCGTAAACTTCACCCCTGGGAAGTTTCAGCAAATCGGCCTAATTTTCAGAACAATTAATGATGAATCAACTCAAGCGAATTTAAACGTGGGGTTAAAAACAAGTAAGATATTTAGTATTGATAGGTTATTTGCCACTTTTATTTCAAACTTTTAGGTTTTACACTTCTCTAAAACGCTTTTTTAAAACTTATTAAATAATAATTATATTTTAAATATCCAAGGATACAAAGGAACATAAACCACAAAGACATATCCTACAGAAGTATAAAAATTTTGAAGCTAGGATTTCGACATGTTTGTTGACGAGTCCTGATTTCCCGCGCTGGGGCTATACCAAACACTTCTACAAATTATTTAAGCAGAAAAGAAAAAAACACAATTATCTTTGTTTTGATAAAAAGTCGTCGTGAGGACTACGAGATTTTTCCACAATTTCGTACTCATTTGGTTGACGGCTACGGGATGGCGTAAGCATACGTTAGCGTGCATTACTGCATTTGGCGCAAAAATGATGAATTTCGTACTTGTAGTCGCTGTTAAAGCTCTCTATTGCTGCTTCCACACAACTGCTGTATACACATTAAGGAGTTTGCGCATGTAAGACGCCGACGTCAGGACGCCGGCTAAAATGATTGATTGTATGGTCGGAAATCTTGTCTTAATTGTACTTACTTCCTTATGAATTTAATACAGTTTTGAACGAGTAAAAACTACCAGTCACGGCGTGAAATGCTAGCGTACTATACGAGACGTAAAATATGCATTTTGCCGTTGTCAACGCGACGTCTAAAACCTCTGCTAGACTTTTAATTATTCATTTTCTTTTGTGCTATAGGATTAATGCCATTGCATGTATTGATAGCCGTCGTCATAGCCTGCGAACAGGCTCTCAAGCTGAATTGAGAGCCTGCATCGATGACTAATGAATTTGAATATCTGCGTCTCAAATCGTGACGCGAAATTCTCATTGGTCAGATGCTATAATTTATATTATTCCGCTGAGCTCTAAATATGTCAAGTGCTGAAGCACTATGCATAAAAAAACACATTAACTGATCAAATTGGTCTTGGCCATCTTATCTCAAAGCACGAAATGTTCTGTTTAGAGAAAACAGTATTTAAAACATTTAAACTTTTGCTTCAATATCTTATATTTCGAAAAACAGTATAAACTGTACGGTCTAAATTTAGTTTGCATGGTCTAAATTTAGTTTGCACGAAAGTTGTAAACAACACCATATAAGGATAGACATTCCATATTTGGAAAAACGAACGTTACGGGGCAGATATTCAAATTCATTAGTCATCGATGCAGGCTCTCAATTCAGCTTGAGAGCCTGTTCGCAGGCTACCGTCGTCATGACGTCGCCGCCTTACTGTTACAGTACAGCACATGCGTAAACTCCCTATTAAATATCTGAACAATAGAAAAACATACAAAACTGGCATTAATTGAACCTACTTGTTATGAAAAACATCGTATTTGATGCAGTCGTATATGTCAGGAATGAGACTGATGTCGAATTTACCATTACGTAATCTGAAGTCCTGGAAAATAACATATTGGAAGATTAGCAACAGAGATTTTCGTCATTCTCACTATCAGAAAATATCAATAGCATTACACACGTGCTGTGTCCACGAGATCATGCAGACATACCTTTTCTGTGTTTGTGATGTCGTCTCTGAGTGCGTCCACACCGGGCAAGCTGAAAAGTTTGCTTAGCCAAAGGTCGCGGGTTCGATCACCATTGCGGTCAAGCAATCGTTTTAGCTTGTCCGGTGTGGACACACTCAGAGACAACATCACAAACATATATCTTCACCTGAGTGCATAACACCAGAAACAAAAATTCGAGATCGTAATAACAGAAATGTTTTCACTGATATCGAAGGAACTAGACTGAGTTTCAAAATACAGCTAATTCAATGGACCATTTGCATTATAGACTAAATTTTGATCTAAACAATTCTAGACAAAAATTTCATCACAGCTTGAAAGAGCACTACAAAGCTAGTAATATTGGAAAGTTTGGTTGCGAAATGTTGTAAAATGCGGATAATATATAGTCTTGCGAAGTTTGCCGTTTTTCAGTCATTTTGTATTACAAACGGGAAATTGACAGCCCCAAAGGAAATTGGGCTGTCAATTTCCCCCTCGTGATGCAAAATGACTGAAAAACGGCAAACTTCGCAAGGCTATATTATCCGCATTTTACAACATTTCGCAACGAAACTTTCGAATATTACTAATTTTGTGATGCTCTTTCAAGCTGTGATGAAATTTTTGTCTAGACTTGTTTAGATCAAAATTTAGTCTATAATGCAAATGGTCCATTGAGGTTGTCAAGAGAAGACAGCCAAACTTTGACGTCTAAGCGCGAATCCTGCTGACGTCCAACTCAACCTTTTTATAAAGGTCTATTGAGTATTGATATCAACGGGAATGCCGATACCAAACCGGTTTGTGGAACGTAGCAACCGCGTATAACTACAAGTCTGCGAACGCAGACGTCATTTCCCACGTTCATTCTTCGTTACTTTCCGAGCGAAGAATGAGCGTGGGAAATGACGTCTGGGTTCGAAGACTACATAACTACGGAGTGTTCGGACTATCACTCTACTGTATGCATGTCGGTCGTGCTTTACGCGCTTAGAGATAGAGGTTTTTCAGTTTTGTTTTTACTTTGAAAGAGAAATTAGCTGCATGTAACTCTCGCTCGAACTGACTTGACGTCGTAGGTCAGCTGGTAGAGCGCTGGATAAGCAAACCAAAGGTCGCGGGTTCGATTACCACCGTGGTCAAGCAAACTTTTCAGCTTTCCTGGTGGATGGACACACTCAGAGATAACATCACAAATATACTGTATGTCTTAACACAAAAAAACCCCCAAAAAATACCTTTTCTAGTTTGCTCCAGCGATGAACCATCAAGTCCAAACATTCGTTGTGATAGAGGGACGGCTCTGAAAATATAAAAACAGAAATGACTTAACGAACATTTAATATGCTTGTGATGTTACTCTGAGTGTATATCCACACCGGGCAGGCTTGAAAAACATGCCTGGCCACGGTGGGAATCGAACATACGACCTTTGGAATACTAGCCCAATGCTCTGCCAATTACTGGGCTTCTACGTCCTGACCGCGGCTCAGTTGGCAGAGCATTGGGCTAGTATTCCAAAGGTCGTAGGATCGATTCCCACCGTGGTCCGGCATATTTTTCAAGCCTGCCCGGTGTGGATATACACTCAGAGTAATAGACGGCCAGCCACCCTAAAAAAAAGTGACTGTCGATGGCATTTTTTGTTACAAGCAGGCAACCTAGCCAGGCAGCTTCGGATTGATGTTGTTAAGAAGGTTTGCCCCGTTGCCACGCGTAATTTTGGATAGAAAAGGAAAAAATGAAGGTTTTTTGAGGGCGATCTTCGTCTTTGAAGTGGCGCTTTGTTAAAATATGGTATTTTGTATAGTTTATATATTTTGCCAAATATGGTTTGCCGGAAGCGAG